TTTTTTTTTAAGTAAATCTAATGAAATTAATTTCATTTCCTTTCTTTGAGAGATTTCATTTGATCGCCGATGGAGTCTTTGAAAAGAGAAAAATTGTCAAAAGCACGAATTGAATCTTCAAAACCAAGCGTAACTAAAACCAAACTGTACTTAAAATTCGGATTTATGCGCGTTTGAAAGTATTTAAAGTGAAAATAGCGAAAATGTCGAAATATTTAAGATTTTATTCTTGATCTTGGGTTGGAGGGTTGTCTGGGGATTTTTATTTTTCACTAGGACGCGCCGACGCGTGCGAATTAGAGAAGGGAACAGCTGAACGTAGGTTCGATTTAGTCGCGTTTATGTGGGCTGTGACATTGATTATAAAATAGAATCCACCATCGGAATGGTTCTAAGCGGTTTTTGGCATGATATGGGTGTCGTTGGACGAGTGTTGCCGATTGGACCCGCATCACTGTGACAAACGAGGAGAGATGAGCGACGCTCGCAAATATTTGAAGCGAATCTCCATAACGTATACCTTTCGATCAGGTACATTTATCTTCTCAGACACTCTTTCTGAAAATCGTGGGAAACGAACAACGATCTAGGGAATTTCAAAACTCTTTTCGCCAAGTATCGACATTTTTCTAATCTTCTTCTTTTTTATTTGTGACTCGTGCGTGGAACATAGAAAGTTTCCCAAGAATGAAAAAAATTCCTCCAGCGAAAGTATTAAATTCAGTAAAGTGGAATTCAGGAAATTTTCTTTAAAGAAGGAAGAGCTCAACGAATAAGAAATTCGTAGAAAATGTGAAGTCTCCCGAGTCTCCATAGTCACCTGCGCGTATTCATCCAGTTTTTTCCTTTTTCTTTTTCTTTTTTTTTTTTTTTTTTGTTTTAAGCGGCGTGAAAATTGAGGTCGAGGAAGTAAGTAAGCCACGCGAACTGCAATTAATCACGATACAAAGGGGCTCGGTGTGATCAATAATCGAGTATAATTCCATTTTACGAGTAGCCGCGTCGAAATTGATCTTTCAGTCATTTTACAGCCCTTCCCGACCGCTTCTTCTTTCACGGTTATTAAACGCTAGAGCCGAGTTATTGAAACTACGTATCTATTATTTCTTTCTTATATTTTGCACGGATGTCCACAGTGTAATTTTTGTTTTAGCGATAAATAGTAAAACGACGAAGTTATTTTAAGTTAGATGTCTTTGAATAAAAATGTGGGAAATATTGGTAGATGTTTATATTTTCTACCAATCTTGGATAATTTGTTTCCTCCGATTCTCCATTTCGCCATTCTAGTGGACGTGAATTATAATTTGTTCCATTTTTCATCACAAAAAACACAAATTACTCGAAACACTAGGATGAAGTTGCATCGAGCGTCCGACGAGTCGCAATTATCTCGTGAAATACTCGGGTAAAAGATATTGGCTGTAAATAATTGTCGCAATAGGTGGAAAAAATGGATAAACAACCGAATCACTGAGAAGAAGGAGCAAAATGAGGACGACTTGAACAACTTTGAACAACATGATTGATCATGCGATAACTATCTCGTTTACATTTATCCGTTTTCTGTAGACAGTTGCCGCGATCGCTTAACCAAAGCACGTTCCTCTGTATGCCTTTTGTAATTACGCGCCCGACGCTCATTCACCGTCGCTGTCCGTTTTCCAATTATCAATTATAGTCGACAGCGAGGCGCGACGATGGCTGTCGCGTTTTTCCCCCGACGACATTTGCAATCAGCCGCCGGAAGAATCGGCGTTGGATAGAACATCCCCCATTCTCTCTGTCTATCTCTTCCCCCCCCCTCCCTCCCTCCCTCCCTCCCTCCCTCTCTCTCTCTCTCTCTCTCTCTCTCTCTCTCCTCAGTGAGAGCAAATCGCCAGATGTCGAAAATAAGCGAGCCAGTTCGCAATTAACGATCCTCGCAACAGCGCGACCGTGTGTCGTTAGAGAAAACAAAATATAAATCCTCGGACGATCGTTTCGGGAAAATCGACGCGTAAAAATCGTGAAAATTCCCTCGTTGGTCCCATCTGTTCCAACGTCGTTACTCTTCATGAACGAATGAAAGAGTTTTGTATAGGAAATATTTATGGCACTTTACGCTCCCTTGAATTATTTCAAATCTAACCTGTCAGCTCGTTCCTTCTTCCTGCCACGTTCTTTCTTTTGCTCTTACATTATTCCGCGTCGTCATTTCACCGTCATTTTTTTTTTATGGAAGAGAATTGAGCCGTTTCTTCAATTATCTCCGCGACTTTCGAATTTTTTTAAAGTCTCAATTTTAATTTAATACCAACCAGAGAGCAATTTTTATCGTTTCAGTTTGACATTAGAAAAATCGCTCGTGAAGACGAATTTTCCAACTTTTCCAAACTTTCCTTTATTTATTTTATTGTTCTCCCTACTGTCGCACAAGAGAAATTCACTGGCATTTGTAATTTGCAAAATTTGTAACATCATCAAGTTCAGTTGCGCAGGAGGAAACGAATCAATCTTAATTTTTGACTCGTGCTTCCAAAAATATCAATCGGGCCGAAATATTTTCAAATACGAGAGAAGCCATGCCAAGAGCGTCGTCCAGTAAATGTAACAAACGTGTCGATAGCGGGTGTTTGATGGGAATGAGATGGGCGGGGCGGGCGCGGTCTGTTTGAACAAAGATTCCTGCACGAACGAACTTTCGAATTTATCTTTCACAGAGCAAACGATGCACTGGTTCGCCCAAATCGGAGGTGACGAGGCCTCGCCCGATTCGTCAGGTAATAATCAGTTTGGTAAATAACGGACAGTGTGCTTTGCCAAACTCATCGTTTGCGCCGAGTTTAACTTGCGTAATGCGTGCGTATTAATAGTAATCCGTCGAGATTGGAAACGACCGCCGGTTCCATCAGTATATTTACAAGCACGCCTCGTTAACCGAGTTTCTTTGAGTGTGCCATTTTTGCGTTAACAAGTTAACTGAAATTAAAGAACTAACAAGAAAGGTTAAAATCGACGGAATGTGTGTGTGTGTGTGTGTGTGTGAAATTCTTACCACGTTTGAAAGAAAATTAAATTTTCAAAAAAAAAAAATTATTCAGGTTTTCCGGTTATGAGTTGTTCGAAGCGATTTTCGCAATCTCTTAGTCTAGAGGTGGCTAACTGGCGGCCCGCGGGCCCCTCTACTTTCCTCATCGCTAGCGCTACCCCCTCCACTACATTGAAATTTCCCTACTAAGCAAGTCGAGAGGGGGTAAAGAGAGGCAGTGGAAGGGGCAAAAGGCTGTCAGTTAGCCGGCTCTGTCTTAATGCGATTGTTTAATAACACTGTAACAATGTAGATGCAACGAAATTGAACGTTCCACCTAACAAGTTGCTTGTTTTTTGATTAATCAATTTTAGTTCCTTCCTCGCGTCAGGAACGCGTCAAAAATGTAAAGTCACCTCCCGCGTTGAGAGTGTTTCAAAGCGTGGAGAGATTGAATCGAATAAAAAAAGAAACACGACGGTGACGCGAGCTCGTGGCAATAAATCGAGCGTCTCTCCATCCCGGTAAGGCGGAACGTGCCTTTTATGGCGCCCTATTTTTAATAATCGTATTAGCCGGGCGAAGGAAACACGTTGATATCGCGGAAAATGGGCGGCTTTTTCTTCGGTAAAACCGTACGAAGGCAGACAGGCGATCGGATGGTGAATTTATTACTTGATAAAACAGCTGCGCGCACGAGCGAGAAGGGAACGTTCAACTCGACTCGCAGAAATTGATTATCTCTCCGCCGAGAGAGGTGCAATTCTACGACAAAATTCTCTTTCTTTTGCTATTCTGTTTTGTCAATTTCGTTTGGTCCATTTTGGTACGTTGAAACATGGACCATTAACTCTTTGCGATTTTATATCGTGTGTGGCTCGAATGCGTATCGTTTCAATTTTTTTCGTTGAGACTAATAGAGAGAAAATAAAAGTTGCGTCGTCGTATATTTTGACTCGTGGCTTTTGAGAGAAGTTGTTCGTTGTCCAGTGATTTCAAAACCGTGTTCTGGCACACGGATAGAATTTCTAGCATGGTGAGTCTCATTTTTCACGAAAATTCAAAAATCAATTCAAAAATTTCGATTTACTAATTGGACCATAGCTGGGCAACGTACAGCTGGAACTGATAATAAATTTGAAAGCAGTGATTATACGGTTGAACGTGAATTTCAAAGAATAATTAATAAAATATGACGGTCGTAGCGAAAATGAAAAGATTCAGACAAAGTCAGCTAAAATGTTATTTAATGTAATTATCTGATCACAAGTATGCCGTCTTGTTCGTAAACCTGTAAGTGTTTCGCAAACTAACCGATACCGAACAAGCGGATCATCGGTTAATTTGAAATCAGCGGACTGGCTGATTACGAAACAGTCGAATGTAACGTAGAGACTAGTTAGAATGAAATGACGAAAAGCGAAGGGTTTAACGCTCGCTTCTAACGTGTCTGGTTAGAACACAGAGTTGAATTTCACGTTGTCCGAAATGTCACACAAAATGTTAGACACGACGTCGATTGCATGAAGCATGTTTGTCGGTGAGTGTTCCGCGATCGCTTTGAGGACTTGCATTTGTGTGTAACTGTGGTGCCCGTCCCGCAGAGCCGCATGCTTGCAGTGTGCCGCGATTACGCGTGTTCTGCTCGTAATTTACCCGAATCTCACGTGCGTACGCACATATTCTCGCTTTCTTCTCGACAGATGTGAAGCGCCGGCAAAGTCTCTACGACGAGGACTCCCTCGACGGCGATCATCCTAGCGAGAACGAAGGTATCATGTTTTCAAGAAGCAGTGGCCGAGGCTGGCTTTTCATTCGCCGCGTTCCTCCCCTCGTGGTGGTTTCTTTGAAACTTTGAACTTTTCCTCCTTTGCCAAGTACATACACAGTTGTTACAAGTCGAGCCTTTATTCTCACGACGGAAACGTGAAAGATTGTAAATAACGGGGGTGAATTCGTGGACTTGTCAAATCGAATTGTTCGAAAACCCGTACGCTTTTACTATCGTGAACTGTCTGGGAAATATAATATTTCGAATACGTCGAACGCAGTGTGTCCCACGCAGAACGCGGAGCTCGCACGAGACGAGACGTAATGATCGAGCGTTGGTGGTTGTTCTCAGGACGGGAGTCGACGGGAAGCGCGAAAGACGTGGACAGGGCGAAGCTCGTCCGTGAGAGACAGAACGAGGAGCGGCAGCGAAAGTTGGAAGAGCTGAGACAACAGGCCATCGCTGCGCAACGTTTCCGGGAACAACGGGAAGAGGAACGCCGAAGGCGCATCGACGAGCTCAAATCGCGTGACAACGACAGGTTTGTGTCATTTCTTTCTCTCTCCTCCTCCTCCTTTTTTTTTCTCTTTTCCTTTTCATTAACCGTTTCAGCGTTTGGTCGCGATGCTGAGCCGATGAGGCGAAACTGATGAAATTGTTACGAGCAAATTAACACTAGAACTACCAACGATTAAAAAAAAAAAAATTTCCATCAGAGACATTAAAAGTGGAATATGCAAGCTTATGTTCGTATGTTCTACGAAAAGTTATTTAAATCTTTCAAAATACACTTTTACGTCTATGAAACGTCTAACAAAAATTATAAGTTGATCATTTTGATCACTTTGATAGTTCTAGTGTCAACGTAGAAATTGTTATCGCGTGACACTAGGAACAATCAAACAATGGATCTATCGACAATTCGCGAAAATTCGGCTGCTCGGTTCTTTAATTTTTTCTGGTTCTCTATTTGATTTAATTTTCTTCTATATATATCTCTCTCTCTTTCTCTTTTAAATGAAAGTTGAAAAAATGTACTTACGCCCGAATGGAAAAAAGGATGAGATTTTAAGCCGGCTTTGCGTTTGAAATTGGGTTATTTAATATGAGCCAGTTGCGAACGATAGATAGAACGCTGCGCGCACGCGCCTCGAGAGTAGTACTTCTTCCCCTTTTTTTTCCAATCTGTGACACGCGAATTCAAACCGACACGGAACCACATCGATGTGTTTAAACGCTCTTTACGAGATTACGTGCTCCCTCCACGAGGTTATAAGTTGACCTGGTTAATACGATACGCCGATGCTAAACTGTTCCGCCGTCGCGGAGGAAGCCCCGGGAAATTACCGCGACACACCTGCATAAAGTTCAACCGCGGCAAAAATCGCTTTTCCCCTCGCCATCTGGAAGAAAGAATGGCAGCCTATTACTACGTGTACGGGGGGAGCGTGCTTCCGAATTTCTCGAGGATCGTTGCTTCAGAATCCCATTTTACGAGATATACACGTACGCACATATACAGGATGGGCGTAGTACAAACGAGCAGAGGATGATTCTACGTCAAAAAATAAGAAAAAAATTTGATATAACTTATCTGCGCCTCGGTTTTCGAGAAAATCGACTTTAAAGTTTGTTCATCTTTGTGAACGATTTAGTTGTCTACTCTTCTATGGTTGTTTCCGTCCGAGATAGTGTTTACAAACATTATTTATTGTGTGATTAAGGCAGTACAAAGTGTTCCTACTGATAATTAATTTTTTAATCCTTGTTACTACTTTCTATTGTGATACTACAATACAGTACACTGTGACAAGTATTGTTGAAAATGTCCTCCTCGTTGCTACGTGCATAAGTTTGCTCGACGAATTAATGATATCTCAACAGAATGTAAGCGGATATCGTTTTTTAATTTGTCGAATTCCTCCATAAGCTTCAAATGTGTAATATTTGAAATATTGTCTTTATAAACTTGTTCTTTGATATGCTTCTATAAAAAAAAAAATCTAGAGACATAAGGTCCAGAGACCAACGTACCTTACCATTGTGATCCAACACGAATACATTTGATTTAAAAAATTTTTAACCTCCCTCGTGTAATGTGGCGGTGCACCGTCATTTTGAAAAATCATGCTCCTTATAGTAGCCAAGGGTACATCCTCTAACAACAAAGGCAATTCATTACGTAGAAACTCAAAGATGAACAAACTTTCAAGTCGATTTTCTCGAAAACCGAGCCCCAGATAAGGAAAAATGTTAGACCAAATTTTTTTCTTATTTTCTGACGTAGAATCACCCCCTGGCTCGGTTGTACTACGAATCCGGGCCCACTCTGTGTATATATCTTTTCTCATATATTTTTATTTTTTTTTTTTTGCAGACGAAATCAAGTGGGCGAGAGGAAACGGTTGATATGCGAGGCGGAAAGAGAAAGAAGGGAGGCGATCCTCCGGAAGAATCAGGAGAGAGAGGCGCGCATCGAGGCGAAGAAAAAGAACGAGAGGTCGCACATCGTGTTCGCGTTCGGGAGCTCCACGCCGAGGATGTTGGAACCGGCCGACACCGGTGGTTCCACTTTCTGGGGAACACGTCGGGCAACCTCCACCACCAACGTGATGATGTTCTCGGCCGCACAACCGTTGACAAGGAGATCCTCCGAAAGAGAGCTCGATGGCAGCAAGAAACGAGCCACGTCCGCTGGTGGACTCGATCGAAAGCCTGGCGAAGGTTAGTGGCCAATTTTTCCAATTGGATACTGATACTTGAAGATACCGTTGATACTTGCGGATAAATGGATCGATTAATTTAACGATTAGCGACAGACGTCAGTGATATTGTATCAAACTATTATTAGGGTAATTTTTTTTTTTTTTTTTTTTTTTTTTTTTGTCCACACTCGGTACAGCGAGGAGCACAACTGTGAACAATTGTCGATAATTCGAATTGATACAGCTTTGTGATAAAAGATCGTATGATCATCCATTCGGTCTTGTTTTAATCTCTGCTAAATTACAGTGGCTTTCGGTACGTCATTGTAGTGGCTCATCACTTATATCTTCAGTCTGTCATGTTGTTGCAATTTCTCAAATTCGTTATAGAAACAAACTTCAGTTTATTTCGTTCTTTCGATTTCGAAACATTAATTTATTCAAAGTTTATTCTAACGTAGTTGTTACGTTATGTAAATCACCATCGGACATAAATTTCATCGTTACATTGATTTTTTGCACTGTTGCAGTTTGCGCCTTACTGTACAAAAGTGTAGAATCTCGTCGTAACTAAGAGGTTAAAATTTTAAAACTTCCACTTTGGCAATTCGTGATTTCGTTCTTTTCGAAAATGATTTTACATCGTGGATAAATTTTTCCTCGAAAACTGTAAAAATTCAGCAGTTTCACTCGGTCTGAAAACATTGGGAAAGTTTTTTCGACGACAAACTTTCTAACTTTGATTTTAAAGATTAAGATTTTCTCTTTGTAACAAGTTTTTAAAACTCGCCGCACGCTTTTTTCTCAGCTACGTTGTTTTATTGAACTTGAAATGTTAGGATTTCTTGAATCATTAATGTTTTATCCCAATGTTCGATAAAATGGTGAAAAAAATTTATACAAGTTTTTAAAGAGCAGATTTCAATATTCCAGGTGATCTAATTACAAGAAAAATTCTTTAATATTTTTATTCACGTTTGAGCACGATAAAAAAAAAGTATCCTCACTAATTGAAAATTGTTTTTGAAAAAAATGAACTCACGACAACCGTCGAAGCAAAGACTTCACGTTTTAAAGTGTGATAAAGCGGATCGTTGTACGATTTTTTTTTTTTTTTTTTTTTACAAAGTTACATTTTTTTTTTCATCGTCATTGATACAGTAATGCTCTTCACTCTAGCATCAATGTCGACGTTATTCCGACTGATATTTGACAATGAAAGGATGGAATGGATATCGACGTCTGTCGTTGACGTGGTTAATTACAAACGGCGACGAGAAAGATAAAGAATCGCGAGACTTCGTGTAAAGAGTATCGTTAGCGATTATCGTGTCGTTGGTGTAACAATTGTTCCTTCTCCACGTTGGCACCGTGAGATTCCCGAGCTCTGCCGATGATTGAAACGTACATACAGCGAAGACCGCTTCTTCTTTTTCTCACTGCGTTCTTTCTACACAGCGCTTCTCTAGTGCTATAGTTGCGCAACCGATGCGCCGCAACGCGCGTAACGCATGGATGCACTACGTTCCAGAAAGATTACGCAGGACGCGACAGAGAGATATTTTTTATACGTATACGTCTGCGTGGCGTTGCTTGTGCGCTACTTTTTTCAGTTCGTTCGTTTTTTCCAGATCGTGCGCGATTGCCGAACGAAAAATCGTTTCAGGGAGAGATCGTTTTTCAAATCGGTTCGAATCGGCTTGATTTCATTTCTTCAAATCGCTTGTCCTCGCGATCGATCGGGCCTTTTTTCCACGATGTTTCGATTACCGAACACTACACATCCAACCACCAACACACGACTATTAATTAACTGTACATGATATCTCAATGTCGATGAAATTGAAAAAAAAAAGAAAAAAAGACATCACGAAGCATGAGAGATCGATTCTCTGGTGTTGATAGAGAAACTGATTCGTGATCGTACTCGTAATGTGTTTTATACTCTCTGCCCTTCTCTTCCAGGATTTTCATTTGAATTTCTTCCTTTCGTATCGTATATTTTTCGTGGCCAATTTATCGTCGGTTTATTAATTTCGCCGCGTTTGCCGATGAATTTCAGTTTCGCTACAATAAGCGAATCTATGTACGTTACCTCTTCTTTGACTTTTCTTTTCTTTTTCTTTTTCTTTTTATTTTTTCCTTTTGCTACCGTATATCATATATTCTTTTGCCAACATAATTTCTCTTCATGTACACACAACGAGAAGCACCTCATCTTCGACTCGCTGACTTCTCTGCAAATCCATACATGTTATTACGAAGTACAAGTGTCAAGAGTACATAGGCAAAGAAAGAGAGAGAGAGAGAGAGAGAGAGAGAGAGAGAGAGAGAGAGAGATAGCTGCTCGTAGCGAGAACATACGTATGCCTGAGTAAATGTAATTTCACTAGAGTTTGTAACGTTGACCGGAGAGAGATAGATTTTCCCCCTGTTCCGGTAATTAAGATCCCGAATGCATCCGCTCTATTTACAATGTCTGTACTTACTGGTGGTGGCTCTGGTCAGGCATTAGTGTAATCGTAACTTTTTTTGAAGTACCTGTCTGTGAACCGCACTTATATCTAACTGCTAATTTTCTCCCCCTTCCCCTTTCGCCCCACATTTTGTTTGTTTGTCTATCGAGCAACCCCACCTTTTGGCCCCCTTGAGAAAATCGAGAAATTGAAAAAAGAAAAGAGAAAAGATTAAAAACGAAAAAAAGAGAAAGAAGAAAAGAAGAGAATCCTGATTTGGAAAGTACCTAATGTCGCAGCGTTCAATGGTTTGTTTGCAGATATGAGAATGTCCTCGTCCATGTACGAGGTGTTCAATTGGAATTCTAGCCCTGATCCTCCCTTAACCCCCGCCAAACATAAGAGAGCCAGCCTCTCTCTGCCTCCTACAACTGACATCTTTGCCATCGATGATAAGTCTGATAGCGACACTAGGCGTCCGATGATCCAACGGGCTGCCAGTGGTGAGTGCCGAAAGTCGAAAACAGACGGGGAAAGAAAAAACCAGTCTGCAACCGCTGGGGAGATTGATTGTCTCTTGATTCCCAGAATGAGCTACATATATCAATATGATATATTACGATCCTTGTCTCTCTTGTTCATTAATTAGCACATACGGAGTTACGTACTCTCTTGCAAGCATGTCACTTTCGTTTGAAAAGCCATGAAAAAGTATCTGTACACTCTGGCGAAAGTATCTATCCGTACGCTCGTGCAACACCGATCGAGTTGATGAATTCTGTTGATCGAATCTCTGGTAAACGTTGTAACGCTCGAATAACAATACCTTCGTTTCGGCGCGGTCCGAAATTAACGAGAGTCGGTGTTGAACGACGTGTACCGTTGATTAGTCATCATAATGCATCCTAACGCTATTCAAACTGTTTTGTATTAACAATTATTAACATTTACGTACGTTTAGATGGGTTTGTTCACTGACAATCTTTAGAGAGTAACGTTGTTGTTATTAGAGAGCTAATTTTGATACTCTACGTTCCTCCTCTTGTTAATAACATTAATCAGCGATTGTTGTCGTTTGACCAAACTTCGGGAATTAGTATCGAGAAGCTGAGGTGCCTCAATAGTCGATTACGAACTTTGAACGACTTTGAAGTAGAATTTAATTTTTACTCTCCTGACATTTACCTTCTTGTTGCAACGGGCAAGCATTATACACTCATATCATTCATAAACTTATTACATCACTACATGTTTATTGTGTTTCGATTAAATTTCGACTTATTGTTAGTCGCTGATCGGGATAAATAAATATATATATATATTTTTTTTTTAATTTTTCAATCATTTGAATATGAGAACGTTTTTTCTCTTTTTTTGACGATGTTCGAACGATCAATTCGAGTTTACGAGAATCCTTTCAAACGCTTACTTTTTTCGCAACGGCTTCTTTCATTTGTTCATTGAATATGTACCCACATACAAACACGTCGATTCGAATGCTACAACACGAGACACTCTCTTTGTATATATATATATATATATTTATATTATATTGTTCTGTACGTGCATGGAGTTTTTCTTACACATACTTGCTTTTACCGGATTTTTACCGGATATATCGTTCGCATGTGGCAACGTTCCGTTTTACCACCGCTTTCGTAGGTAGCAACGTCGTTCGTACACGTTCCCAGTTTCGCATTGTTCCTTGATTACCGTAATATCCGTCCATCATAATGCGTATCACTTTATCCGCTCGTCTGAACAACACCGTTGCTCAAGATTCCGTTTTCTGGTAGCGTTATCGAATGACGTACCCACTCTGTATTGTGCACAAAAATTCCTCCGCTTGCTTCGCACGTGTACGAAGAACACACACACACACAGATAACACACAGACACGAAGCATGAAGAATAGCGATCAATTGAGAATATCAGTAATCGTAAAAAGAGAATGCCAAATGTACATCCACTCACACACGTACGTATACACAGGCTCGCGAAAGTTACGTAAACGTCACTCGACGAGATAATATCTTATGAATATATCGTGCGCGTTGTGCGAAACGCTTTAAAAATTTCATTGGCACTGCGACGAACAATTACAAGGATATTTAGTACGAGTGTATATTTCTCAAAAACAATAAAAACACTTGACCAATCAATTGTTCATTGTATTAATAAAAAAGAAAATTCAGCGAGGCAGTATTGTAATAAGATTGTAACAGTGAATTCAATTAATATTCAGACACTAAATATTTAAGTTGTTATAATTGTGTAAAAAGAAATCGTACTTGGGCTTATTTTAAAGCTTGTAACTTGTGCTCTCAAGATGCATCGTTCATTTTATTGATGCACTATGTATCACAAAGACGCTTTGCTCCTCGAAAATTCTATAAATTGTCATAGTATGTAAAAATATTTTGCATGACTTGATTTACAGTTAAATAATACAATTAAAAATATGATTTAATCGAAGCCTCTTATTCGAGTCGAGACGACCCCTCAAAACTTGGTGTGCAATTCCTTTTCGCCAATTTATTGAACTTTGTCAGACGAAAATGTTACGATTTTTTGGAGTTGGAATGACGAAGAAAAAAAAAAATCATAAGTTTTTAGGGATTGTTGCAAAGGGGAGACATCAGTTTTCACATACACTGTAAACTTCAATCTTTTAAAAACTTTGCGTGTGCGACAATTTATAATACTATCGAGAAGAAAAGTATCGTCACTTACGAACTTGTTACGTGATACGATAAACGTTTTAGAGCAAACAGAATTCGAGTGAGTTTCGAAAGCAAGCTTTAAAACGAGCTGAAATTTTAATATTTACCGTCCGAATGATAATCGGATTCGCCGTTAATATCCAGACTCGGGATAGGTTTCGAAAATTATGCCAGTTCAATCGTCGCAGATCCATTCCAACGAGATTCGAATATTTCCGCGAGCCAGCGTATGCGTATACCCGCACACGCGTACACTCGATCCATGGAAAATGGATCGAACGAACATTTCTTTTTTTTTTTCCCTTTATGTTTGTGCGATATTCGGAGGATGTACGGCGCTCCTTGTACACGTTCGCACAACGGTGCATAGTGCGCAGTTTCTTTCGGTGGTCGCTTCTCGCGTCGCTTCGCTTCTAAGGGAGACTGCATTGCAGGTGAAGAAAGCGACGGAACACCGGGAACCCCTAGCTCGGTTTATCTGCGGGTGAACAGAAGGCGTACGGACCTGATGCCGACGATACCATCGCCGCGTGATGGACCGCCATCGTCTGGGCGTAGTTCGAGCGCGAAGGCCTTCACACGTTCGCCAGGTAGGACTTATTCCATGTCCAGGCTGGACCAACTGGCGCAGCCTAGGAAACGTCCGACAGAACTTAGCACACTGACGGAACAGCAAAGCCAGCCTCTGAGCGCTTCTAGCATGAGTCGCAGCATGTCACATTTAGCTGCGTCCGGAGGCAAGAGCCTCAAACGCTCAGATAACTCTCGTAGCATGGGTACGTTGCCAGGCGCGGTCCCGATGCCGAGACCAACCAGGGCCGAGAGACTCCGTCGTAAAGCCCGCGAGCATCAGAACCAACAGCAGCAAGGTAAGGCCGTTCTTGTGCACTCAACTCTCGGCGATGTCGTTCTCTCGAATACCGCACTTGGTTCTATTGACACGTTGAATGCCATGGGAAGGAGGGTCGCTCAATTTGTCACGGTGACCGGCGAGGATGCCAAGATTAATAGACGCGCACAATTAATTCTTTTTATTTAAATTTATTCAATATTAGCTTTCACTATTGCGCGATGGTGTGAAGACAGTGTTGTATAAATTATATTAGTCGCGATATATCGTGTTGAAGCACTGCAAGCAAAGAAAAAAAAATTAATCGGCACAGTCTTCACAATGCGCTTATTGTTTTGAATTCTTCTACAAAATCCGTCGCCCGATCTTAAGGCTTTTCTTGCCATTCTTTTTTTCTTTTTCTTTTTTCTTTTCTTTTTTTTCCCCATTTCGTGGCGTTGTTTTTCTTTGTGGAGGAATGCAACTCTCAATTTCACTGTGTGACCGCCGGTAAGATAAATAAACATTAAACACGGTTATATACTTCAATTTATCTATTGCAAATAATATTTCAGTGCATTATCTATCGCGTAATAACAGATTCATGTTGGCGTCTTGGGCAAGTCACGTAATTATCAGCTTGGCATTCAACGTGTTAAATACCGCACTGTGTCGGTTTCTATCGTCATTCACAGAAATCGGACCAAGTAGTGTAAATACGACGAATCGCTTGATCGACGCCATCTTGTACATTTCTACGACGTTATCACGCTGACAGTAACTCAAAAGATTTTCAGATTTATACATTTCGATTGCAATAGTTTTTGAGACGCGTCTCTCTCCTTACACTCTCTCGAACGAATCTATATACAGTTTCAGACATTCGTTGCCATCATCTGTTGTTCTGTATCATCTGAGTTGGGTGCACACGTGCATGCGAATGCGTACGAATGCAGTAAGGAGCTATTGTGAATCAATAAGACAGAAAATCCTTGTGTTCCCTGCGGTTAATTTTCTCGGGCAATTTCTCGCGAGACGACGCGGTCTTCAACCGGTAGAAGACTCATGCCTAACTGCTTGCGTACTGAACGAAAACTAACAAACGATCTTCGAGGCGTCTAAACGCTTTCAAGTTTTTCCTTAACACATCGACCGTGTGTTACTTTCCGATTTTTTGTTTTTTTCTTTTTTTAACAACGGTAATGCATGGAATTCTCTTTGCGTTAATAATAATTACACAATTACGCCGAATTGATTAACAAAACGCTCCTGCTAATAATAAGACGATCTCGGGTCTCGCCAGCTTTTCGGTACCAGGGGTGAAGGTACGCTCTAACATTTTCTGGTAAGCCACACAATTTTTTTTTTATATGTATATATATATACATACATATATATATACATATATACATATGTATCTTATCACTTACATACACGTTTTACGCACAATACTAGACTGTGTACACAGACGAACCGCAATCGTATTTAGTGTGCAATACATATATCGCTCCATTTTTGTTCTCCGATACTTTCCTTTCGTGCTATTTCTGTTTTTTTTTGTTTTCTTCCACGAAATTCCACCCCGTTTCCTTTTTTCTTTTTTTTTCTTTTTTACTTTTAACTCATTTGTTTACGCCTCTTTCTCTCAGTTACTCTCGATGTACATACAATCTCACATGCGACACACGATCAGTAATATTTTTTTGGTGGCGGTGCTTGTTTTCTATTTAATTTCGCTACTTGTACCTCTTAATAATTATCTAATTCTAATAAAAAATCAGCGAAATCGGTATGATCGGAATAAATTTAAAAAAAAAAAGAAAAAAAAAGGAAACAGAAAATACGACTTGTTTGTCGAGACGTGTGCAAATCGAATCACGTCGGCGTCGTGCATCGGCACGCGCAATAGTCGATAACGGGAGAAAATAGAAAAGAAAAACAGAAAGACAGAAACAAAAAAAAAAAAAATAAAACGACGAAAGAAAGATCGGTTCTCTCTGAAATGCCGCGGCAACGCGACACTGCTGATGCATTTCACAGCAGCTCGATCTTATTTGTTTTTAATGTGTAAACGCGCGACAAACATCACAATGCCATAAAACACGTAAATCAAGAGATGTTCACCTTGGGTGGGTACGCGTAGGCATCCGCAGCGGGGAGGTGACACCGAACAGCCCATCACGACCGCACAGCTCCATGAGTCAGCAAAGCGCCAGCAGTGTGGGCAGCAGTAACGTCAATCTGCGTCCTCGTACAGCTGCCCCGCGTCGACCGCGACCTGCTTCTATTGCCGGTACCGGTGTTTCGGTCACAGAACGACACAGTGAGCATGCCATTTTTTTTTAATAATCTTTTGTTATTAGCGAAAGAAAGAAAGAATGAGTAAAAATCGCGCGCGTACACGAAAGAAGGGGGGACGGACCAAGCGGTCGCCGCTCGAGTGCTCGTTTCGCACGGATAAACGTGCGGACCCATTCGACGAAAAGAAGAATCCTTCTGTCCTGCGACACTTGGACCCGGACCTTTTTGTTTGTCCATTTTTTTTTTTTTTTTCACAGTTTGCATTCTCGTTGCAGAGACGAACGTGTGTTCAGTTTCACGATTTTTTTTTTTTTTTTTTTTTTTTTTCGTTTTTCTTCTGTCGAACCGAGCCGAGTCCGTATCGAGACGCCGGCGGCCCACGATGACCATCGCGCTCGCTAATTTCCCAGCTCGCGAATTACGAAAAGGCTACGGCCCCCGGGGCGTTTACGAGCAACTTTTACGAGCAGCCGTCATGGTACCATGGAAATGAGGCAAGTTTAATCGAAACGCTGATAGGGAACGCGGCTCGTTATTGCGATTACGAATTTCCTAGGGATAATTGCGGGCGTGTCGTTGTTACCGAGTTTCGGTTGCACTTTGCGATTTGTAACATCGATGAAAAATATCCGATGATCACAGCAGAGAGTACACGCAAGCAATAAATCATGTATCGGATAAATTTAATCCAAATTTGAACGCGAAATGCACTAAGAGAAGAAACAAAAAGAAAAAAAGGAACAGGCTAATATCGTCACTTTTCTGTATTTCTGAATTGATGAAGTTATCAGTACTTGTGAAAATGTTTCTGTCTCTTTCTCTCGATCGCGAATCTTTAAAAAACGTAACTTTGATTTAATGATAGGACAGTATAAAAAAATGTTTGAGGGGGAATTAATTTTGCGAGATGCTGAAAATGAAATAGCGAATGAAATACGTAATGAATTTTGTTATTCGACAGAAAATCCCCCGGAAAGCTGTTTAAATTAATGAACGAATTCCCCCGTTAATGCGGGACTTGAATTTCGCATTCAGCTTATTATGTGTACATATTGTTTACAATGTTAATTGAAAAAAATAATTAAATTTACGGCACGAGATCGTTTTTGTTTCAAGACATTACCGAAACTCCGTGCGTCATGTTAACGGAATTACGCTTTTCGACACTACTTTTATAGTATTTATTATCTCGATTAAAGCGTATGGTTCCCGAACGTACGATAGAATTCCATTTACACGAGCCCGATTTATCCGAATGAAATTTTAGTTAAGCACCCAATTAAATGAACTCCTACCGAACCGAATCCACTTATCCTGAATGCAAACCCTTATTATGCGAACGAAAAACCAATTAATCATCCTCCTTCGAGCAAATAAATATTACCTTCGTGCATACCGCGCCGAAATTTCAACACTGAAGCTACATAAATAGTGATCAATTTATAATTTTTGTTGTCAGACGTAAAATATTTTCAAAGATCTAAATTTTTGAAAAACGTATAAATAAAATTTATTGCATTAAAAAGCTTGAAGGAGGTTCGCGACAAGCTTCAAACAAATAAATATTATTATACTTTCATATACATGGCGCTGAAAGTGAAGTCAAAATGACCAGTTTATAATTTTCCGTTAGAAACTTCATAGACGTGAGATAGTGTATTTATTTTTAAAGATTTAGACTTTCGAGAAATGTGTAAATAAAGTTCATCGTATCATAAATATTAATTTCTCAATTTTTCAATTAGTCATCGGTAGTTCCAGCGTCGATCAGTTGGTCAAAATTTGCAATTTCACAGGAAAATTTCCACGAATTTCAAAGGATTTCGTTCGAGCAAACTACGGACAATCCGGAATAAATTCCAAGTATCTAAAAGATATCGGCTCCGTCAAGTGTTATCAAGATCCCATGAATGCGAACGACAGTGGAAGGAAACGTGGGCAGAGGGAGGTGGAGAGTATCGTCGAATTATATCGTAGAGGGCCATTGCGTCGGGCCAACGATCCGTCGCGATGATTCTCCGCGGTCGGTCTCGACCCGCGGGACTCGTAAAGAAAACGTCGTTAACCCTGCGGGTTCTTCGGATACGGCCGGATACGGCCCGGACGCTTGCGAAACTTTTCCACTATGTCACACACGCCCCATGTACACGGGAGAGGGCGCGCGGAGCCAAGTGACGCCGTTTTACGCCTTTCGAACTGTCTGGCAAACTTCCTTTTTACGCTCGCCGCAACACTCGCCGACTTTTAGCGGTGTATCGCGCGGCGGCAGCGGTTCACCGCCGACACACGCACGATAATTCTCCCCGGTCCACCGGAAGAGTGACAGTTTGGCCGGAGTTCCGCGACGCTACAGCGGGAGAAGTCGCGCGTCGTCTTCTTAAATTGCCGCCATCGCCGGTTCGTGACGTTGGGCGTGCCAACGATTTTACTCTGGAGATGTTCTTTCTCTTTTTTGTTTTTCTTTTTTTTTTTTTTTTTTTCGTTGATCATCGTTGGTCAATTTTTACGTTGGTTACGCGCTTTTTGTTTTTTATTTATTCGATTTGTTCGTTACTTCTCCTTCTTTTTTTTCTCTCTCTTTTTGTTTCTTTTTTTTTCAATTCCAATGTATAATTCGAGATTGCACATTCAAATACCGCGCGCACGCATAGACACAAGGCGCGCCGATGCGCGGCGAAGTTTCACGTTTTTGTACTGTGCACCGTAGATCTAGCGAGCGAGCCGAAGACTACGAAGGATTCGAAGCCGCCACTGCCAAAGGTCCACAGCACTCCAAAGAAAACGTCTACGCCGAAGGTGACGGAGATCAGGAAACCGACGGAGAAGCTTGTGAAGAACGCGAAGGCTTCGCCGCGAATAACCCCGAAGGCGACGCCGCTGCAGAGCCCTGGTGCCGAGAACGCTCCGTTGATCCGCGGCAGCACCGGCGAGATAATAAAAAGCGAGGTGAAAGAGGATGCAAAATCGGAGGACAAACACCAAGAGGAGAAGAAAGACCAAGGCACCGAGAAGACACAAGTAATTAATTTCCCCTCGTCGGATAACCGACTTAAATAAGCGACGCGGCGAGCCGACACCGGGTCACTTTTGACCCATAGCTGAAATTTTTCTATACTTGCTTTGCACCTAACTTTTTGGTACAGGATGTTACCTAATAATGTTTATATTATTTTTATATAATGCTTCAAATTTCCAGAAATATCTGTCTTTGAAATATTTTGTTTGTTCACTACGTTCAAGTTCTGGGTCAACGATGACCCGGTATCGGCTACGCGAGGGTTAACGAATGAAACACGCGCTGCTCTGCCCGCGAAAAAAAAATAATCGATACGCTATATGTGTGTTTTTTTTTTAATTAATCGCAGCAGGAAATAAGCAACGCGGAGCAGCAGCAGGGTAATGACGAAGTGAAGAAGCCAGCCATTATCGAGCAATCCAATTTTGTAACTAAACAAACGAAGGACGAGACTAACCTGAATCAAGAGAATCAATCGGCCGCGCGGTCTCAAGAGACGCCCAAGTCTACGAAGAAGGAAGCCGAGGCCAAGTCGGAGAGCAACGCGGAAGAACAGGTCGACATGTCAGGTAAGCCGGATCTCCGAATTAGAGGGCTAATAAAAAAATAAAAAAATAAAAAAAATATGGTCATTTTGCAGCCTCGATGATTGCAAAAATCCGGATCACCACGGAGGAGGAAGCCAAGGCAGCTATAGCCGAGCGTAGAAGATTAGCCAGAGAACAGGCTGAACGGGAGGCCGAACTTGAACGTCAACGACAGGTGCGCTTTCGAACAGCCTCTCTGCATATAAAAGCAGCCGCATTGTCCGCGAAAAGAGGGGACTGCCTCATCTGGAGAGATCTTTTTGCAGGAGGAGGAAGCCCGTTTAGAGGCCGAGAGATTGCGCGCCGAGGAAGAGGAACAGCGCCGTTTGGAGGAAGAGACGCTTCGTTTGGCCAATGAAGCTCGAGAAGCCGAGGAACAGAGACTGAGACTGGCGATCGAGGAGGCGAAGCGTCGCGAAGAGGAGGACAGAAGAAGAAGAGAGGAGGAGGCTCGTCAAAAACAGGAGAAAGAAGAGGCAGAGCGGAAAGCGAGGGAAGAGGCGGAAAGGTAGGTGGATGATTCCTTTCGCGTAAAGTGATTCTATTTGATCGACGTTTTCCTTGGTCAACTGTTTAATGATGTACCGTGTAACGTTTTTTTTTTCCTTTTCTTTCTTTCTTTCTTTTTCCTGTTTTTTTGTTGCAGACAACGGATCGAAATGGCGGAGCGCCTTAAGAGGGAAGAGGAAGAGAGACTTGCTAGACGTAAACGGGTCGAGGCGATCATGCTTAGAACTCGAGGCAAGAACCAGAGTAACACGCCTACAAAGGTAAATGCTACAATAGATTGTTATTTGTTGAATGATGTTTGTACGGTCGTTAATTGGCCGTTTTCTCTCCCGAGAGAAACGTTTACGAGCGTGTTGCCGTGTGTTTTGCAGGGTGAGGGTGGTGATGGCGATAAGTTGAAAGAAGACAGTCCGAGCGATGAGAATAAAACAGCGCCAGGTAGCAAAGTTGAAGACGTTATGACAGCCAGTCTAATATCCGAAGCGACTCAACAGTTCATTAGCGGAGAGCAGCGAGCTCATCACACGGAAAACAATACGACTACGGACATTGTGCATAACGGCACGCATAGTAACGGCATTAATGAAAGTAAAATTGTATTGGATAATAATCAGGGTAATGTGGAAGGAGAACTGAATGGTCATCATACAAATCACGGAAACGGTATCAACAGTCAATCAATTACATTGGATAATGCAACCGTGTAAGTATATCAAATTCAAAGTTACAGATTTGTAACCAACATTTCTATTAACGTAAGAGTTACATATTGACACTTACTCGATCGTCATTTAACAAAAACAAAAAACAAAAAAAAAAAAAAAAAAAAAACGGAAGAAAATAAAAGACGAAAGAAGAAGGAAAAAAGAAATCATTTCATTATATTCCTCGTTGCGAAATTCCATCGTCGGCTAATTTAACTGATTAATTAATTTCATTCGTATAACAATTAACCTCTTGCGCTGGAAGATTTTCGAGGTTAATGACGAGGAATGACGCACGTTGAGGATTTTTTGCTCCAAAATTCGCAACATTTTCTCAGTTTTAAGTATATCTAAGTAAAAGACAAAATAGGCGAAACAAATAATAAATTGATTACTTCTCAATAATTTCTATTTCAGTGACATCGTAATCGGCAAATTCAAAAAGAAAGCGACGAATTGTTGTCATAGTTTGGTCACTCGTTATGGTCCGCAATCAGTTGCCAGCGCAAGTGGTTAACGGATTGGTAAATGCGAAATCAGTACAATTAAAAAAAGAAAAACTAAATTAAAATTAAAATATTGAAAATTTTTAAATAATTAAATTAAAATTAAAATATTGAAAACTTTTAAATAATTAAATTAAAATAAAAATATTGAAAACTTTAAAATAATTAAATTAAAATTAAAATATTACAAATTTTTAAATAATTAAATTAAAGTTAAAATTAAAATATTAAAAATTTTTAAATGATTAAATTAAAATTAAAATTGAAATATTAAAAATTTTTAAATAATTAAATTAAAATTAAAATTAAGGAAGAAAACTAAAATAACAGACATAAAATAAAAATAAAAGAAAAAAGCAAAAGAAAATAAAAGACAAAGGAAGAAGGGAAAAGAAATGATTTGATTGCATTTCTCGTACTCGTTGTCTGCTCGATCCCATCGCTACTTACAGCTGCGCGTTTCTTCGCGTTTTCTCTTATGACTTATTAGTTATTCTCGCCAGAACTAGGAAACCGTCGTCGCGATTTTTGGTTCGCGGCGACAGCCGCTCGTCCATTACGATTATGCAGAACCGCGTGGCTGATCGTTGGCGGATGATCCTGAAATACTCGAGCTGATAGGGGCGGATTAGAGAAGCGCGACTAACTCCTTGCTCCGGGAACAAACGAAAACGCAAACGCTCTCTCGGCGATCGTCGGCTCGTTTAAAGGGCTTAGGTTTAATCGTTGCTTCAGACACTGAACTGCGCCAAACTACTCCGTTCTTTTATTCTAAATATTGAGCTCACAGCTCATGTCGAATCGTTCGAGTTCAACCGAGTATATCAGTCAGACAGAATTTAATGTTTTTTTTTTTTTTTTTTGAAACGTTCACGATGTTTCAAGAAATTGATGTATTTATACGATCATGATTATTTGATAATTAATTATTCTTAATTACTTCGTCATTGTTAATTATTTCATCTTTATTAATTTAATTAGCTTATCATTAATTATTTCATAATCACGATGCTTATTAATCGTTGTCATAATTGTGATAATTGCCACGGTTTTAATGAAACTTTTAAATATTCATTTTACAATCATGAATATTCGTTTGTGAAAAGTTGTAATTACGGCACTTGCCTGTGTAGTGTCAATGCAATTTTTTAATGTTTTGTACAATGTATTCATTTTATACATTTATCTTGTAATATTTATATGACACTAGTACAAAGATGTTAGCAAAATTTTTCACCTGTTTTCTACAATATATTCGTGAAGAAAATTTAGTTCATAGGATGTTTAAATATTTTTATGATTACGTTAACAAGTAATGTTCGAGGCCAAACAGTCAAATCTGATTATACTATTATTAGTAGCGAGTAGTAATTGGGATAAATTTTGGTGCCAACTTTTTGTCGTATCATCCACTTAGTGTGACATCGAAGACACATTTGCGACTCTTGTTAATCACGTTAGGCCATTTACCCTGATTAGGCTTCGCCCTCTGTCACTTGACGTCCAAAAGACTCACGCAAGCAGAATTCGATATACATACGCCAATTTGCTTCCGAATAAAATGCGAATCTAACTATAGTTCCTCGGTCCAAGTTTTAGTTTCAGACGTGGAGTTTTAGTTGAATGAAATATTTGAAAAATGATTATTTAAGTTTTGGTACTCGATTTGTCTTCAGTGTTGTGACCTGTGTTCAATTCAAGGTAAATCAGGTAAATTAATGTTTACAACAGTGAAATTCAATGCTTTTTATTTATTATTGTTATATATTATGCTTTACTTATTATCGGTACGATATAATTTTCCAAAGTGCGACAATTTTTATAAATTTATCGCGAATTTTGTATTGTCATCTCCAGCGTGATGTACGTGTCCAAAGGATTAAATCACCGTTCAAACGTTGACTAAACATAAGGTTAAATAATCATTTTATTCGACTCGATGTTACCATGAAATAATTTCACGCGAGTTTATTTGAACAAGCAGATGAACCTTCCTCGAAATTAATTCGTCGCTTGATAGAATAATATTTCGTCTAATTTTGCACTTTGCATTTGTTTCTACGGGCAGTCTCTCAAGCAGTTTCTGATTCTGTTATGTGTACGCTTCGCTGCTTACCCCTCTGCTGGTAATGCTTGTCGTTTTATTCAATTCCAATGGAAAGTTATCCGAAAGCGGATTCGCTTGATAAAATCGGTCCTCCCCGGAATTATATTCGGAAGTTTTAGAAACGTTAGAAATATTTTTCCGAGTAAAAAATGAGAAACCAGTGGAAATGGATCCGTGTTCAGTTCAATGCCAATGTTATTTCGTTATTTCAAGTAAAATCTCTCCAGTCCCCTCTCTATCAGCGTTTTACATTCGTCTACTCGATTATCTGCAAACAGTGCGAGCAAATTTGTCAGAGAGTCTACACTAACAACAAGCTGTATATAAACGTGCAAAGTCCAACAAGAATCTCACGCGTTTTCGCCACCGAAGAAAGATCGGCGAACGGCGGTCGGTGGATTATTTCGTTTTACGGGAGCACGATCGAACACCACACGCAAGTATCGTCAAATCCAATATCGTGTTCGAGTGAGTATTCGTTTCCGTGTTCTGTCGGAGGTGCAAGACGGAGGAGAGCGAGCCGGGGCCGGGGATAAAGAAGCTAAGCTACTTAACAGCCGAGTTAAATCCGCGTGAATCGTAATCCCTCGCCCCGCGGTGAATCCGAACGCGGTGGGCCGAGTTCGTTGCCCGTAAACTGGGTGATAGATCGCGAAGATCGCGGGGGGAGGGCAGGTTTCGAACGGACGCTGGAGCGAAGTAAGTGTTTGGCCAACCGGAGAGAAAGAAAAGAAAGAAAGAAAGAAAGAAAAAAAAAAAAGAAAAGAAAAAGGGAACGCGGCTACGGAAAGAGGGTGTGTATCGTACGCTATATCCGAGGATTAGTGGAAGAGTAGGCGCGGTTCTAATGACCGAGCGGAACGCGACGGTAAATTAGGGACACGCGACGTTTCGGCGGGGAAAAAAAGAAAGAAATAATTATTCTCGGGAGTGGTGGAAAAGGCTCTTTCAGGCCTTTGGCTGTTCGGTGATAACTCAGGTATACTGGTAACAGCCATCTGACGTTTGGTTCTCGAGTGGAACCGGAAGTCGTAGATTGGCGCGAGGGTCTTGAGTGTTTAAGGGAGCAGGACAGTGCGACGGTGCCTAAAAATTATACGTATACTTTGGAGGGCTAGTAGAAAAGAGAAATTACATTATTTGATTGACACGAGCTTCTGCGGTTTATTTTAACACGTTAATGAACTATAAGAAGCAACATTAAAAGAGAAAAAAAAGAGAGTTTTTATTTAGCTTTAACGTTTGTTTACATTGCCTGGTCGGTGTGCATGATTCCAGCCAAACAGGATTAGCTGCAACAAAAAGGCAAGAGAAAGTTCAACAGTAAACAATATTCTCTAGGGATTGACGATCCAATATTTTGACTTTTGTGAAAATTATGAAAATAGCAGCGATTTGTGTGTTTTGATGTGTCGAGTTTATCGCCAAAAATTTCTACGTCTTTTGTTTATAATTTTCAAGATTGTAAAAAATTAAAGAATGTTCGATCGTCAAGTTATAGTAAATGTTACACTAAAGATACGTACCAAGTTTCACAGTAATCGGTTGGTTGGATTCCGAGATATCTAAAAAATTAGTTTCGAGAAAAACTCGTTTAAAGTTTCAGAACGTCATTTTTCACATGTATCCTTTACTTAATTTTTTTACTTACTACATCGCGGCTCACAGTTCTTACAATTCGCAACTAAACTGAATCCAAATCTCCTAATATTCGATTCACCAAAAGTAATATTTTTATCACACGATTTACACTTTATAATACTTAAATTATAATACTTAATTTATAATGCTTAAAGTTGTAAATGGTGATACAAATTCAATTATTCTGTATCCGCGGATTTATTATTATACCTCAAACTAAGTCGTTTTAAAGACTTTTACGAAACATGTGAAAAATTTTGTTAATATCTTTGTACTAAATATTACAAGATAAATGTATAAAATGAATACATTGTACAAAATATTTAAAAATTGCATTGACACTACACAGCAAGTGCCATAATTACAACTATCTTTTCACAAACGAATATTTATGATTATAACATGAATATCACATTTCTAAGACTTTAAACTATTTAAAACAAAACAAAAAAAAAATCGATTTTTTGAAAATTTCAAACCGCCCCGACCCCTTAGAATGAAGTTGCATTTCAGAACGCATTAGAGAAAATTGCAGTTTTTGATTACAACAACCCAGTAACTATTTCTTCCGATTTAAAATCTGAAAAAAAAAAAAAAAGATTAGTAATTATTACGAATAAGTCGTCTGATATTTTATATGCACGTCACCATTTAATATGTAATATCGTCACTTTTACTGCCAGTGAAATCAGTGAACGGTAATCTTATTTAGCTGATCTAATTTCCGGACAATTTTCGTCAATCATCCGCGACTTTTTTTCGCGCCAAGGCGCCAGACGAAACGTAAGTACGAGCTTTCAACTTTCATTGACGCGAGAGATACAATATCGGTCAGTTTACACTTCTCTGTAAATCTGTCAGTCTCGTTCTTCACG